GGGTTCTACGGGTTTATCGACCGCTAAAGGTACAAAGAATACGAGTGGCATTAATCGTAAATGCCTTTGCCCCATTTGGCACAAGTCTATTGTCCAAGGCGCAGAGAAACTAATTAGACTGCCAGCACAGGTTATATAAGAACGTACTTTCAAATACTGTGTTATTCAACTTTCAACACGTAGATACGATTACCTCTTGTGGTTCTTGTCTAACTATAGCCTTCTAATGCACTGATAAATATGGTCCAGACTGGCAATTTGTAAGACGGATTCATACTACTTCGCTGTAACAAGCTTGACGTTGTCTAGAAACTTGTCATCGCCCCTCTGACGGAACACGTATCAGTCAACCTCGAGCGCAGGGCGCGAGTTGCATATAGACCGTCTCGGTATTACCGTGAATTGTCTTTTTTTCAAATTGCCGCTCCAAGGATCGATCGATCGATCGATTCAGACTCGAGGAACAATTAATTATCATTCAGCGACTTATATTTCAATATAATCACTAATGGTAAGCAAAGTGATGTGATGTTTACACAAATCAGGTTATTTCTAACAATTTCTGCTAAAATCTACCTATTTCCAGTCTCAATTTCACTACTGTCTATTTATATACTAACAATGTTAACGCCAGCCGACGCTGTTACTAATCACGGGTTGACCAGGGTGATAACGGTGATAATTCTGATGGGAACGAATAATCGAAAATTACGAATCATGCCTTTAGAAAGCACCCCATCATCGACTGCGTACGACGACTCTGTGCAGTTTATCGTGCGGTAAACGACAAAGCTCAACATACGTGCCACAAGACTCAACGCTTGCCGCTTTGTCAGGCCCAATTGTGGATGTGGAATAAAGTTTGATTTTCACTCAATTTACAGTTCCATATTTTCGAACCGATGGAGCCCTGCCTAGAAAGTCGGAGGAGAGACTATAGCGGAACCAACAAGAGATGGATATCGCCGACTCGACTAAATTCAACACACACAGGTTTTATCAACGTCACCATAGCAGAATGATGGGATTTCGTTGCTACGTCAGTTAGCTAGCCGGCCACAGTCAAGCTTCTTCTCGATGGCTACCCCTACCTCCACAGTCGGTCCTTAAAATGACTGTCCTTCACTTTCCGCTAACACCACAGCCACCATCATGTGCGTGCGTGCGTGCGTGCGTGCGTGAGATGAAACAGTGGGGTAAGAGCGGCGACTGCGCGGCAGTTTTTTGGTCATAGACGCATGAAAAATGAAATGACAACGTAGTGTGCTTACAAAGTCACTATCAGCAGCAGTAGCACAGGCAAAAGGCGAAATGCGGCAACGAGGCGTTTGAGTTGCTGTCTCATTTTGTTATTGTTGTCGTAACAGCTGTTGCGTCTATTCAGAATGAGTAAATCTGACCACGACAATCGATCAGAACCACATCAGACAGACAATCAGATGAAGGAACAACGCACATGACAGCATACACACTTAGCATGAGAGCAACGCTAGAAATCTTGGTAGTCGCAAATTTAGGGACTGAAGGAGTGATGAGAAGCTTGAACTTCCATCTGGTGCTATAACCGTTATAACTACCGTGGTCAGTATTAAAGCTTTAACTTAAAACTCGGATATGCGAATCCGAAGTTCATAGCGCAGACCGGAGACTAACTCCGTGAAAGAAACTGAACGAGACAAAGAAAAACCGAATGATACAGACACAGAAGAATGCTAGGGAAAGTGACTGCCGTTGCACGATTTTAGCAGTCTGTATGATTTTGTATTTGTTGCTGTTGATCCCGTGGACCCCATTCAGGTGATGTTCGTTGAGTCGTGGCTGGAATTGTGGCCTGTCAACCTCCCCCGCAGTAACTACCGCAAGACTTCAACAAACAGCTAGCTACATCGGCTGATAGCGGACTGGCCGTTCCTGGATTTTGGTTTGTGCACCGCTTCTTCTTCTGCATCAATAGGCATCATCATACGTAAGAGTCAACAACAGGCTCTATAAGACCTATTTTTTTCCTTTTCGACTATAGATTGCAGCACCTTCTGGAATTTGAATGTATCGAAAGGCGAATATAGAAGTTCAACACTATGAAATATTGGAAAAGATGGCCGGAATGGCGGTAGAAGTTCGTGCGGTGCCCAAGAAAGATTGCCGGATCACAATTGCGCTAATCCACACAACGACGACGATCAGAGCCAACGCGACCAATGACAATAATAACATCAACAATATTCCGACACCGATCGAGAGAGCTGCTTTGTTTTCTTATCAGACCAAAAGTGTTCCTAAATGAGTATACCGACTGCTGGACGCGTTGGTTAAGGTAGTAAATGAATGATTGCAAGATAATGCAAGTACTGCCTCTTGTTTTCCGTTAGATTTTTCTTATTTAACAACTCGCTACCGACTACGCGTTGGCGCTGCAATGTCTAGCTGCTGCCGACTAACAGCGGTATGGAAAAAATTTATGGATAAATTTGGGTGGACGCAAGGGGAACGAAGAGCTGCAACCCACACATGATACACGACCTCAAGCGTCAAGATTTCGTTTATACAGATTTGATGCTCAGATCATAGAGACTGTCAGATGGCAAGACAGAAACGAAGTGAGTACGGGCAACAACAAAAACGGGCAAGGGTATCATTTCAATCAAGCTTCCTTATACTGAGCCTAATACTTCCTTAAATACTGAGCGCCAAGTATCTGTTCAGCTCCGGGACAAGAAAGCGCGCATATCGACATGTCGCTAAAAATAAACAAGCTCGTATGGAACTATATAACTAGATAACAAATTAATCCTCCATAATATGTTAGACTCTTAGAAAAAAAAAGGGTCTGATGGCAATACACCCTAGTTGATCTAACAAGTGATGGTAACCGCGGACAATGGGGCACACACAAACACGTGCATATACCTGCTGGTTTTAATAAGCACGAGACACCGATTCGAGTCCTTTGAAGTAAACATCCACGCTTAGAGAACACACGTGGTAGTTATGGCCACAAACACCTTGCGCTAAAGGATCCATTATGAAGTCTCAATACTGTATTAATTTAAGTAATATTATCTGTAGAAAAACTACCATAGCGCTAGCTGAGTTTCGTTTCGAAATTTACAGTTCCTAACAATTCTTGACAGAATAAAACGTGACGGCTAATCGTATCTTCAAATCATTAAGCCGACGCGCACAACGGACGAATCCCTTTAGATAATGATTATTCGGGTGACGCGAGCCTTACTAACTAACTATTGGGAACTTCCGTTTCTTATGACGTACTGAAACAAATCGTCAAGTGTTTAGACGTTGACGTAAACTAGTCGTGATCCCCTAACTTACATCACAAAAATGCTGCTATTACAAGCAATTATTTTCCTCCGTCGCACAGAAAAATGACATTCTTTGAAAACTTCAATGTGACGAAATAACAAATTAATCACAAAAAAATCGGCACGGGAAGACGCTAGATCTGAAGTTAGTAGCTGTGAAGTTATTTTCTTTTGCGGTGATTCAGTTCGACTACTTTTTTGATTGAAGTTTAAACTGAGAAACGTTAACGAACTAAGTTTTCGTCCTGCTTCCCCGAATGCCTTAGTTGATGGCCAGTTATCGAAATTATCTCACCTTAGACCCACAGCGACTGAGAGATGAGCACCTGAGCAAATATTAGTTATCTTATACAAATAGTAATAAATTATCAACATCCTGCTCTAGCAATCATTAGTCTGTCGAAGGCATTGTGTAAATTATCTCCTGTGTCCAGCGAGATATTAGAGTCGCGCTTTTAAAAAACTTCGTTATTGGCTGTTTGACTGTTACTAGTACTACATTATCAATGATCACTGGGCTTTCGCCAGCTAGACCGAAGCTATGACTACTGGTAAATAACAACAGCTGACATGAGATCAGAAAACGGCGTTTTGGCAGTGTGAATTTTTTTTCTTTTGCTCAGAACTGAATTAAGTTGTGCCTAAGTTCAAAGGAAAGTCGTACCTGCAGTGGAATGCAAAATGAATGACTTTGGTCATGTTTATTAAACGCTATGATAAATGTCACAATAGACGCGGGTCTGGTTATTACCTATTCTCCTTGTTAAAAATTGCCAGGTCATCAATAAAACGCGACTGAATTATAAACGCTAGATAACTCGATCGTTTTTTTTTTTTTATTCATCTCCAATTATGGAGTTGGTTCTGGGCTTGGTTTGGTGAAGAGCTTTACTATAGAAGCAAATAACGCGCTAATTGAAAACCCAAGTTTGATCAGCCACAACGACCGTGACTATCCTCTGATGGATGGGGTAGATTCAGAGGTGGGCAAGGGTAGACCACAGTGCGCTTACCGATAGGCCAGAGAAGAAAGATAAGTACTTATTATTTTGGTTGGGTTGTAAATCCAACAGTGTGCCCGCTCCTCGTGTATAACCTCTGTAGACGGTACACAGCTCGGGTTCTTACATCCAATATAAAAAGGAAAAAAACGCTCTAACTTCACACTTTCCCTCGTCTAAATATTAGTTGGTTAAAACATGATTTAGATACACGAATATACTCGGCATAAGCGAGATTCAAACTCGGCTACCTTTATTCAACCGACCTCCTTAGTTTTAGAACTTACGTTTTGAAACTGGCATGTAAACGGACTTACTTTTTGTGGCCGTTACACATTGTTAGGAGTTATTTAGCTAGCATGAATTGGGTAGGATTTACGTTTGTGCCATTTCCTTTCAGAAATGTGGTGCCATCTGGAGCACACCATGAAAATCAACGCACCGGTAAATATCCTGTAGTTGCTGTAGGTGAGGAACACGTTTTACCGTGCGATTCACTAATCTAGCACGCTCTACTTCGTGTGATTTGTGTCGTTCTATGCGTAGGAACGAAACCCATTCGATCGAAATTCGCGCAGCTGCCCTCCCTATCTCCCATATTCGCATAGACCGACACGAATTGGAGATGTTATTTGGAATACATCACATTTGACGAATTCCTCTACAGAGCAGAACTCACCCATGAAGCGTATGAAACGCAGGCAGCTCAGATGATGTCGCCATAGAGGTACCGCTGTGGAGGTCCGAACAACCTAGCGAGCCGGACCAATCAGCTGGCGGGTCCACTTCCGGGCTCTTTCTGTCGCCAAGCACTCGTGGCGAAGCCACCTCACAACCTCATTAAAGCCACTTTTCAATACAGGCAATCCTTGAAGGGCACTAGCACTGTTGCCGTGATCGTCGTCGTTGTCGTTAATCACTTCATCGAACTCACTTCGCAGCACCTTCCTTTCCGAATGCACTTTAAGATCAATCGAACTCGAAACAGAAGTCAACAGTCATCTAATAGTATTACCTGACATGGAACGGAGATAGACGACCGTAACGAGCGATAATCAGCTGCGTGCGCACGACAAACAATAGGTTAGTTGTTCAGCTTTGGGCCAGAATAACAGCCATGACAGGGCCTAAAGATTGTAAGCTTTTTTTCACTATTAATTGTACATTTTTCGCGCATCTGCATTTATTAGAATTACCCCTACCGCGATGTTGTTCGATGGTCGACTGCCCTCTCCTAGATAGGGTTAGAGTCGTAGAAGGGCCAGTAGATGCAGAAGTGCAAGCCTGTTTGTAGAGCTGGTGCCGGAGGCAAGCCTCACCTTTCAGTAAACTGCCAACAAACATCCGGCGCCTTAGCCTGTTTTCCAAACACCTCCAGGGGGCTAGGGCTAAAGGTAATACAATAACGGGGCTCTGTCCTACTGGGGTCCAGGAGAAGCAGCAGGTTGGGCGAAGTTGGACCGGGCGGGCGTGCGCTGTATTCGTGGGAGGGGCTACCGGCAGGCCGGGCAACGCAACGCTTGTTGCCCTTGGTGGCAGTCCGGAGAGGAGGGCGTCTTCTGGGCGGGCTGCCCTTGCGCTGATGGGAGGCGCATCGTTTCAGCGAGCGCAGTCCACGACACACGGCGGCTTCGCGTTTTGTTTGCCCCTGCTACGACCAGCAGTGCGCCAGCATCCGCCCTCGACGTGCACCAAACGTAGCCAGCCCGAATACCGTGATGGCAGGCGGTGGCAACCAGTGCTAACACAGTGGTGACGGCGTTGACGACCGTATTGCCGCTGCCAGTTTCACCATCGCCACAGCAGCCGAAGCGGCATCTACCAACCTCCGCCTCGTGCCTGCTGCCGCTGCATGGCCGTACCATCCATGGCCACACATCACGCAAGTTGGACAATTCGCACCGACGATCAAACAAACAGGTAGACAGCAATGAGAACGCCGATACAGACAGCGGAAACAGCTTACGCGGGTAGGAGCCGAACGTTGCTTAAACATAAGACAGTAATTAGTAAATTGAAAGGCCGACGCCAACAGTTCATAGCTCACAGCCGACCATCCCTCGTTGGCTGAATAGAAGTGGTTAGTATAAGACGCTCCGGGAAAGGGTGGAAATTTACTGGGTACTTGATAGCCGGTGCCTGTGTGTGTACCTATCTATTTGCGAAATAGCGGTTGAGCCGTCATCTTCTGAAAAAGAAATGATTATGAAACCGGCTAAACCAGAAAAATCACATGCATATCAGAACAGCACACGTTATATTGGCTCACGCACACACAAATATGGACACGTCAGATTGCAGAGCATAGTATATTTGTACATCAACGCCACTAAGTAGATAAGCAGAAGATATAATACTACCGCATCGGTCGCGGACGGCAGATATTCAAATAAAGGGAGCAAAACAGAGAACAGTGCTTTAATTAGCCGCTAGGCGTCGCTTTCTTAAAATGATTATGAAACGATGCAATGAAGACGGCTGATGATACTACCGAATCATTAACGCCAACACCGTAACGATTCCGCCACTTTGCGGTCAACTGGTGAAGTCGCTACTTAGTTGGACAATCTTGCTTCTTGAAGTCTGTCTATGTGTTTGTCAATGTTGCTATAGCTAGTATTCGCTAAATTTCTATCTCGTATTTTTGTGTAGAATGTTTGCGTTAGCGAATGCAGTGCGTATTAATATCATAACATACCAATACTCTAATAGTAATAGGTAACATCAGGAAAATGAGGCCTGCACAAGCTTCTCATCCCAGGTTCATTGTCTACGCAACGTAATATGCCTTCAAGCCGATATAGATCGATATTTTCAAAGCGACAACATCGGCGCACTCCAAAAAGCAAACAATTTAAACCTGCAGGACGGCTTACAGAAAGTGCCAGTCGATATTATACCATTAGGATGTAATAATAATCTGTTGGGAACTATTATACGAAGGTGGCATTAAGTCGAAGACGAAAAAATCCGTTTGTTTGATGAGTAAGCTAACAAAGGCTCATAAAACATAACAGTGCATCAGGACGCATTTTTATAAGATGTTACATCATGCCAACACGAAGATGTTTGCTTTGGCCTTATAAAGGGAGAGGGGGGAGGGGGCTATATTGGTCAGTACTCTTTTCTAGAAAAGGAACGCCGATTTTAGGCTTAAATACCATCAAACTTTTATGATTTACTAATTTAGCATACTGATTTTTTGTTCTTTCGTTAATAGTGGGCCTATATGAGACCCCTAGGCATTTCTTTCGCATTTTATCGATTTTTTTTTCATAGAATGATAACGAAGCGAAGCGAAATTGGCAGCTTATATTTCCACTGCGGCTTCACCTGTGCCCAAGTTATATTTTCAAGCGTAAATTCAAGCAAAGTTACGTTTTATGAAAGTTATTATATGGAACTACATTACAAACGCGCTCTGGGGCTGAAACACTAAGTTTAAAAACGATTTCGTGCGAATAAGTCAGTCATTCTGAAAACTAAAGGGAACATATTTATCTTCCTAAAAGACTATGAGAAACTTATGTCTCACACTAATTTACTGCCAAGTAAGTTAGGTCAGAGATCATGGGTCAGTTACTGGCACCTTTGTTGAGCAAAAATAGTTACAATATACGCACTTTCTCCAAAGCCAACTTGACCAGCCTATACAATCACTCAAGTTCTTTCAATTTGTTTGTACGATTAGCATCGATTGTTTCCGATTTTATAGACTTTTTAATTTCGTGGGTCTATATAGGTTCTGTTGCTTGGGGGCCCATATAGGCCTCATCCAGCAACATGCACCGACTTAGTGACTTTTATAATAAAACTTGATTTTCATTACTTTTTAAAATATAACTTTGGAACAGGCGAACGTGTAATCAACAACACAAAAACTGGGCGGTCCTTTTGCCCTGTTTCTGATACGAGTTCGATAATAATGATCAATTTGGCTAGCCCGTTTAGAATTTCATTACAGAAGAAAACAATAACCATCTACACACTTTCTACAGGAAACTATACTAGCCAAATAAATTTGGTAAAAAAAAAAGGTAACTTACCTTAAAAGTTCGCAATTTTTACTTTGTGCAGCACCGCGTGGAGCAGAAGCATTAATTTTTGTTCAATCATCAAAAGAGTTCTGCTGCGGTTTATCTAGTACACATCGAGACAAGGGCATCAGTATATCGATTTAAACAATTGTGCCACAACAACTCAGTTAGATCGATGGAAGTTCTTGGGCAATCGAGCTCAATGAGCTCTGTGTCTTGAAGCTGACAACAATGGCCACGGATTACTTACGAGCATTAGTCTCGACATTTCCGAACATCGTGAGAAATCTCCAATATCGATTGACAAATCCTTGCACGGACTTATCCAGTAACGACTCACGTTAAATAATTTAAGTCAAACATTTTTATTAGCCCCTGATAAAACTACTAAGCTAAAGAGTATTCGGAGAGCCATAGAAAATTTGTATGAAACTGTACAAACGTCTCGCGGTATTGCGGCAATTTTCACAAATCCTTTTCATGAGTCCTCTATTCGACTATTATTATTGCCCGAGTGTCTTCATTCTATTCTATTGCACGTTCTCCCCACCCCGGTCGTCCCTGGAGTTCATCAGGCGTCATCGCCACGGCTTAGGAAGTGCATTTGTCTAGCAAAAGGGCCTGCTACCACTGTCTAGTTTGTTCTATTGACGATTTCAGCTTGTTGTAATTATGATGTCTGTGTCTGCAGCGTACTATTTGTGTCCAAAGGAGAGACAGACGACCGCTTTATAATTCGTCACTCTACGATAACGTTGACCGCTGAGCAGGCGACCTTGCGCGACACTGAATCGCTAGTGTTCTGGTTCCTGCTTTTCGATGCTTCATTAATCGCCCAAGCGACATCGTATTCGGAGAGACAAAATATAAGATATTGTAGAAAATTAGTAAACGCAAGTAGAATCCGGTTAAATCGGCTAAATTTTGAACCACGATATTCTTTCTATGCCGCTTCTATTAACTATTGTAGTTTCGAAAAAGGAAAGGAAATGGTACGTTTAATAGATGTTGCAAGCGATCAACTTTAACTTCAAATCGATATAATGGTTCCAATTTTGAACAAGACTGGGTTGAATGCATACGAAGAGTTGGGTTTACTCTGGGCAAGTGTTGGCGCTATCTGCATCACTAAGAACATTTTTTTGGTTTCGGTTCGTTCGACCATTAGCGTTCCATTATTTGATTAATTACGTGTCGTGTGATGCGCTGACGTTCGTCCTGTGCCACAGGGGCGTCACGCCCTGTATACATCACCACAAAAATGCCACAAAAACTTAGCGGGAAGGCATAGATCGGCAGAAATTTCGTAATTAGCGAGCTGGTTAGCTAATTAAAATGTAAGCTGGTTAAGTCAAAACGCGAATAGCTCCTGGAAAGAATCTATAAAGTATCAAGAACTGAAGAATATCAACTACGCCAGCACGATATTAACTTCTCGATGCAGCTAATGAAGGTTCTTCTTCCCATAAAATTATCCAATTTTCCTCGTTCAACTCACACGTTTAACAATACCGTCCTTCTTAAGCGATAGGTATCTATAAAAGTACGCGTTTACTTCCACTAGCTTCGGGTAATGAATGTAATAAGTCTATGCAGAAACTTTGGTGCCATTCACTGGTTACTTTCCGAAGTTTTCGCCAGTATAATCCCTCCAGTCACCTATCTCTATATAGTTATTCAACACGCACCCACCAAGATGTGGTTATGGTTCCGTAGGAAATTAATAGTCTGTAAAAATTAACATAATCAAGCGGTCAATTTGAAAAGGCATTGTCGATACCCTCTCAATGGCATAGGGTGTCGTCTGCATCCCTATTTTCGCTCGATCTTTCTCGAGCATTATCCTAATTCAGGCTTAGTAACGATAAGACGATTTCGGAGATCATGAACTTCGGCAGTAAGGCGCCTATATTCCTCTTTCTTTTTAACCATATCTGCTACGACCGGGCCCTGAAAATGTAGTGCAAAAATACCAGTTATAACTTGGTTCCTCCTTTACAACCCAACTAACCGCTGCTAATGACAAATGACTATAACTACAGGGCGTATATCTGGCCAAACCGCTCGCATAATGATACCATTTTGATATGATGTATTAATTCCAGTCAATATTCTAAAAAAAAAACACGTACAAGGGATTTTTTCTGTCGATAATTATTTCGAACTCAAAATATTTCCTGTATCAAACAGAAGTAATAAAATCGCTAATCAATAAACTTGGAGTTAAGAGAAAGTTAACTGTAGCCTATTCTAAGGAGTAATTAATCAATGGTGTAATTGTGTTTGGTCTTGCGATCTTGGCGAAACGAAACGGCAGGCTTCTCATGTTGATGAATACGGAACTTGATAGAAAACACCATTATCCATCTGCCTTGTTTTTTTTTCTGACAAGTAATAAGACGACATTATATTTGGTAACTTGATGTTAAGTTCACGAACTTCAGCAGCGGCTGGTATCGTAATGAGTGACTGTGTAGAGTTAGATAATTTTGTAGATTAGTTTGGGAAGAAGCAGGTAGCAGACGCACACAAGTACCTCAAGCTGTGTCTGAACACTCGATGGAAGAGTCTTCTTTGCGGTAGCATCATTAACCATTGTAGCAGCATTTTCCAGCAAATCCTGCAAGAGCTGCCGACTACTCTGGAGTTCTGTCGTGAGCGCGTCCATTGCCTGCTCGAAGGACAGAATTTCTCATTCTACTATGTATATTGCCGATAAGTGCAGATTGTGTGACAAATATTGAATATAACACATTGCTAGCCAACAGAGAATATAATCCTTCCGCTTAACAAGATACTTCCGCTCCCACAGGCTGATAAATAGCCAAAGAATTATATGTGAACGAGTCCCAACTGTTCCTACCTGAATATTAAGGTTGGTGGTGCCATATTTCTCGGTGTGTTCGTCTACCTGTGACTGGCTATCCGAACTGCTGCTGTAGGTGGCTTTTAGACCCGCCATAGCCTCATCTGAAACAAATACTGGACAGCGTTACCCTTCGCTCAATGCTTCCTATCACAAATGGGCCCTAGTTCTACCTCAGTTAAGCTTCTGCTCTAGTGGGTCCGCTAAACAAGATGGATCTGTAATAATCGGGAAAGTTGTAGGTCTACACGGCGATCCTAGCCCCAGTTTATCGAAATCGTTGAGTGTGCTTGTTCATGACACGGCCGAGGAATAGGTGTAGGATGTGCCTTAGCGATTAGCCATCCCCTCAGCGCTTCAATATGATTGTTAATAATAATGAAAAATTTCTCAGAAGGCGATAACGGAGCCCCACTAAATACTTTTGCCAGCTAATGGACTGGAAGAATGTAGGTAGGGTACAGGGAAACATATGGCATTTTAATACGAATGCTACACGGACATTTCAAGACGGACAAATCTTGTCTGCGCTAACAATTGAATCCTAATCAAGTTAGGTAATAAGAAATGTTGAGAGATTATTTGAAACAATGACATAATAATAAATAGCCGCAATCCATATCAGTCAATAGGTTGGCTCAAGCACTGCCTGAAACGTCGAACTACGTAATGTCACACTGCTGACGTTGGGCGAAAATTCAACTGGGTCGGCTGATTCTAAGCTAAAGACGACCCCACTGTACGAAAAATCAGAGCGGCTTTCCACTCCGATGGGCGTCAATTATTTAGCAAAACAAATATCAAATTAAAGTCGCTATTGGAGGCTATCTGAAGCAGGCCATTAAGATCAAATATTTGCTTTATATAAGATAAGGTTCAAGGCCGACCAAGGCCATCCGCGACTTCGTATGGGCTTCATTACTATGACCAAAATAACCGCAGAATACCTGAATAACCATTTATTTTCCAGCTTCTTTTACCCAGTTAGAGATATTAGAGAATTTAAAAAAACGTACGAACTGCAGAAATCCAATATAGAGTAATAATATAAAATAGTTATTAATCCAGTACGTTTGACAAACTTCGCTTGAATAATGCAGCTGGAAAATACAGAATGTATATTTTAGCCACTAGTTAACCCTAACATGACTATCAGTAACGATTTTCTAGCGACACTTAAAATGGTCTTGCGGGCGTCCATCTCGTATCCTGGCCAACACCTAACCGTTTTGAAAAAAGGAGTATCAGCCTAGTTAAGGCTGTACGACGAAGTAAAAATCAGTTAGATTTGAAGGAGAAGTTTGTGAGTTGTTATCCTGCATAGTAGTCCGGCCATGAATGGCTGTTGCTTTTTAAAATCCTATTAATGCGTATAAGTGACGGCGAGGAAAGCTCAGAGCAAAATCAATCGATTTTTACAGCGGACAGATAAGGCAGGCGTATAGCACTATCAATCTATATATGCTATTAGAAGTGTCCGCGGATCTGTCCAGGCCAAAAAGGACGCTTTAGACGCTACAAACTGGGCGTATTTTTTCTGGATCGCTAAGGTCCCATGCAGGAAAGATTTGCGCGGAATGCGAAACCAATTCGACAAATACTTTTCGCTAAAGGGAGAGATTCGCTTGTTCCCATAAGCATAATGAAAACTTTTTCTCATTTGCTACATTTTTATCTTTTACAAATGCCAAGACGGCCATCAGCGTCACTGATATAAATATATCGGTCAGTGTGAGAACTGTGAGCAAGTGGACTCAACGCGCCGTACGGTAAACTGTGAAACTATACTGTGAAAAAAGCTATTAGGTGTTAATGATTAGACAATAGCTGGGCTTTATTCGATATGACTTCAGCTATAAATATAATTCAACTTTCACCTCCGTAGAGGTAAAATGAAATGTACTCAATAGCAAAAGAGGCGCGGGATGAAGCCCGCGAGTAGCGTTTCAGTCCCTCACAATATCAACTTGTTTAGATACATCGGGCACGCAAAAAACTGTCAAATAAAAATAAACTATATCATAGCAACCGATCTTTTTCTATTCGATATTCCGACCTCTCTGTCATGGTTTGCAGCGCACTCTGATAAATGAGCGAAGTTTTCACATCGTTGCGCGCCGAGACATTGACCAGGACGATTAAGACCGCTTTCACAGTATCGGAAACATATTATACATTTAGGTTGGTCAAATCCCTTGTGCGAAACAAGTTGAAGTATTGGAAATTGATTTTGTGATATGCCATGTGCCCGAACCGGTGGATCCCGGATAGTCGTCTACCTGCCTCCTTCAGGTAGGCCAGGATCTTTAGTCTTCGTCCGGAACCTACGCCGGTACGGGAAAATCGCTACCTGAACGCCGTACTGCTAATAGTGTCTACCTGTTTGATCGTCCTGTACACGTCTTTTGTTTCGCATACGAAAACGTCTTTGTTCTTTATATAGAAAGTGTAATAAGATCTGAAAAGGTTTATTGTACTTACAGTTTCAAAACATAATAAAATGAATCAATCTCCTACGAGAAATTTTTGCAACAGCAGATACGAACGCACCCATGAGGCGCGAGCAATTCGTTCGTTCGTTATATCTAAGACCTTTAGGTCGATCATGATGCAGAAACAAAAATCACTTACCTATGTATTTAAATGCGGGTTCAGCGTCTTTTCTAAGCTCATTGGTAGCTTCAATGAATGCTTTTACGTGGCTCGCCAAACTATTCGCAGTTTCTTGAAGGATGCCGAAATGATGGACTAGGGTCTCTGTGCGGTCTTTTTCGCGTTCAGCTACAGCAGCCAGCTGGACTTTTTCTTTATTTCGCAGCGTTAGCGTCTCAACCAAAAGCTTGAGGTGGGCCTGCCGTTCCCGAAGGATGTTCCGTTGATCAACTGTTAACGTTTAGAAAGCTGTACATTATCTGTTTTTAGTAATTCTTTTTCATACAATAGGTATGGTATACAGAAATGTTTAATATTACTGTTATTCTTGTTTCGATCAAAACATTAATTAAATATTTTGGCAAATTTCTCACAAAGATCGTATTGCTTGGAACAGATCTCTTCGATGAGCCGGTTCGTTTCACCGTCGCCATTCTGTATCACAGTTATCGCCTGTTCGCGTACTTCTTTGATCTTTTGAAGGAATTCTGCTTTCTTTTCTACGGCTTCTCGTTCCTGGCGCTCCTCGTTAGCATACCCTTTGGCTAGCTCAGATTTGAGCTCGGACTCGAGTTTTTCTTTCACAGATATGTCATCCTGAAGAATAAAGCACTCGATAATTCGCTGAGTTTGTTTTCATTCTACTTCCGTTTAATTTTGACGTTAGACGGTTTAACTTTGTGAATTATCGGATAGCTATATGGACGTATATATATATAGAAACGATGGCGTATGTCGAATACGTTGATGTTTGTGCCTGTCAATGAAGTGACGTTTGCCGAATAGAAGTCCCGCTGTACATTTTTGTTCCTCGAAATCGAGCAGGAACAAAGCGGAAGAAGCCTTGCGAAAATTAGGCTCATAGTTTATTTAAAAATTTATAGCAGCAGATTTATATGGGAAAAAAGTAAGTGTAGATTTGCAATGACCAATACGTGTTTTTTTTACATTAATGGCAATTCCACACTGATTACTTACAGTCGCGTAAAGCATTATAAGTGGCGCTAAATGTTCTAGTACTTTCAGCTGGTGGAAATGGTTCTGCTGTGCTCTCATTTGGCTTAACACGGTTTATTTTTTCAGAGGTAGCAACGTTCGTTGAGCCTTCGAATCGCTACATAGAAGTATACAATAGCCGGACAGGCAGCCAATTTAGCTTTTAACATAAAACGCTTAATCTCTTAGTTTAATAACAAATAACGTCACTACGACGATCGCAACTTGTGGAAATTAATTGCTTACATTAAAATACATATATGAATATACAGCATACAATAAGTGTTAGCTCATACTATTTTTTTTAAATTGCTGTTCGTATAAACCTTTCTACCCTAACAGAGTTCTGGTGCAATGTCCCATCTACCCTGTCAAAGTAACAGCCGAAGCCTAGTTATGGGAAAAGTCTTTTCATCAGCCCGCATCATCCAGCTTGGCAGTTATATCCTTCAGCAACTGCTTGAGTTCAGTGGTTGAAAAAAGCACTGCGTTCAACGAGATTAAAGTATTTATAGGCACATTATCTTAAACGTTTTATAGAAGCAAAAACTCAGCACCCATTACGGAACATCTATGGTAATAATAAACATAGCCCGATAGCCCCTATCCAAGCGAATAACTGTCAATTTTCTCATCTTTTAGCGCTGTTCGAAACGTGAACGTAGTTCCTCAAGTGTTTTTTCAAAAAAGTAACAACCAACTTTTACAATAGAGTGTTGTATCGATGTCGAGAACTATATTTCAAGGTGACGAAGTACAAAAGAGGAGCTTCTAGAGAAAACGTCTCTGCGCTGAACTTCGCACGCATATCGCCGACTTCGGTTAGTTTTTTCTATTTGTATGGTCTCTAGAGGATGTGTTTGACACTACGCGCCTTGTTGACGTCCAGATTTAATTTCTGATAAAATCATGCCAAGTAAAAACTAACTGATAATCAACAACAAGTATGTCTTCCAAGCAATTGGCAATACGACAGGATGGCATGAAGATAGCTATCTGTACATATAAACATATACTTTTTGTCAATTCAACAACTAACGCTCGTTCACCGTCTAACCTTGAGTTGTTGAAGCCGCTGTCTCTTTGCGTTAGCAGTGGATTTTTCGCAGTCGAGTTGAGCGTTGAGATCTTCAAGTTCTATCTGCTTTGCTAATAGTTCCGTACTAAGCACAGTGTACGTTTCTTTTTCCTCACTGCTCCTCTGACGCACCAAAGCTAACTGTTCGTAAGTTAAACGTAACTTTTGAACAAGTTCCGCTAGCTGAGACGCCTTTTGCTCCGTCGCATTAACGACAGTTTCAAACCTGCCCAATACAGAATGGGTTTGCACACTCGGCCCACATAAAGCGATTTGTAGCATCTGTAAAAGGTAAACCTAGCCAATTTAAGGTGCTAATAGAAACATATATATATATGGCATGAACTTTTTCTTTTACGTGATACTATATATATATATATATATATTATCACGACAAGTGTGTTCCTAATAAATAAGACAGACAAAACTCATTGCACAATAATTATCTATTGTTTTACAGTCGGTTTTTACCTTCCAATTACCTTCCAATATCGAATCCTTCTTCATTTTGGCAGTCGGCTCGTGTTAGTCTATGGAATGACATTGAGCATTTCGCAATACGAAATACACAAGAGTAAAGGGTGTGTTTGCTAAAATAGTACTTTGTTTCGGCCTTACCTGAAAGATGCTCTCCAGATACTGGTAAAGGGCTTCAACATCCGTATCTTTTCTGTTCAGGCAGGCTTGTAAATCGCCTACCTGAGTTCTCACTTGTTCCACGGTAGCAAGTGCCCCAGTAATTCTGGAAATTTATTAAGGATCTGCTATAAAGAAGAAAACGAACGCTAAACATAGAACATATCAATAAACGTGTGACGCCCGTAAATGGTCAACTGTGAGCCAAGCATAGATCGTTCGGTCCAAAACATCGACTCTACCTAGCTGATGAATATTCGTTTCTTCTGCTTTTACCTATAGCGCAAAAAAGATTGCATTACTTTCTAATGAATAGATGGTATGGAAGAATTTGTTACATACATTGGCTCAGGGTGTTCAATTTATTACTATGTGTTTTGTTTACAGGAAATCCGACTGCTTTCTGAATCATCCGGATTTCCTGAGTAGAGGCTTTCATTCTGTATTGAGACGGCAAGTAGTATTTAGGGATTAAAATCATCCTGTTACGCTGTTACTATAGTTTACAGAGAGACTGGGTTCGAGGGATCCACTCACTGTGGGTACAAGTCCTGTTTCAACCGGCTTATCTCATCATCGATATTCTTCAGTAACTCCAAATGTTGTTCAAATTGACGAAGCTTACGAGCTCGAGCGTCACGCTTCGACACGAGGGGCATGCCCTGCGAAAAAAACGCACACGCTATTTAGAGTAGCATTAACGAGCAGTTTGCTTAAAGCGACACACAACTCCGCAAGTGATCATTGGACAAAGTAAAGCTGTCTGATTTCTTTTCGACAATGTCCAGTATGGACTCAGTCAGCGAAACTAAGGCAACCAAACTATTCGTGGCCTTTCCATAAGTAAGAATTTTTCGATTTTCAATGATTTTCCTATGCAGTTCTATTGACTTGCTGACCCTGTTTGAGGTACGTAGCCGGTACGACGCTTGCTCCAATGTGTAGCCGTTTTCCTTAAGTAGAGAGCTTTACATAAGAGTAACAAAAAGGTCACAGATGGCGCATAGGGGGGGGGAGGGGGGGACTTCCTGTTATGTGTAGGCGGTATGTGTGAATACATATCTGAATAGTCTCCCGCACATAAACCAAGAACTTGAATGGTCCACAGAACCAATCGCACTTCGAAAAATCAGCAGTTGTACGAAAATTCCAGCCGACCAGAATATTTACTTGTAGGTAACATAAGCAGGATTTTTGTTGGACATCGCGATGTGCGTTACCTCGCTATAGTATGATCTTGTGAAGAAAACACTGTTTCCAGTTTAACAAACTGAAAATCGCCGGGTAGTTAGATTATGAAATCGTACATTTCGCTAAGTGAATACTGTTAAAGTGTCATAGCAATGCTAAAAAAAAAAAGGCTTACCGTTGGCGGATCCATTTTGGCTAGCCTGTACCATGGCTTTAGGCTGAATATGGCAAAAAAACAACGGATGTGATGGATACACTAAGTTTTAGTTGAAACATTAGCTGTTATAGCGGGCGCTTATTTTCAGTTTGTAGAAATTATTTCCTTGACTCTTTTCGATATGTCTCTATATATATATATATATATATAAGTGCGGAAGCTGAGCTTACCAATAAAATAAGCATAGCGTGATAAAACACACGAATCATTTTGGTAAAAATATTTTTGAAATTTGAATCTCTTGAATTCAAAATACTCCATAGGACGAACCATTCGCTTGTACTGCAATCTATCCAAACGCGGCCAGAGGGAACCGCGTATCGTAAAACTAATACGTGTTGAAACTGACATCTTCCTCACGACATCTGCATGGAGTACATGCATGTAGAAAGCATCGTGGTGAATTAGAATAGATTGATTATTGGCATAGTGGACCGAACACACATCTCCAAATGATCAGGTAACAGGCCATAGAGAATGATGAACATCAAAATTAAGTCTTTTGTTACAGTGATATTGCAATTGTATAACATAGCGTATTTGAGATAGTTTCTCTGCAAAATATTTAATACGTCATAATTACTCGTGGTAGTAATAAAAATAATAAGAAAAGCTATGAATGTTTATAGTTCAATCAAACTATAGACATTTATAGCTTTTTATTTATTGATGTACAACAAGTTCACTTTACACGTTTATACACTATTTCGATTTGTAGTCAATTCAATCACGTGAAAAGGGCCCGAGTCCTATTTGGTCACAATATATCTGGCCGTCGACTTTTTCTGAACCAGTTTCTAGGGAAGGCCTAAAACAATCCGAAAGTAGTTCCTTTGTCTAAACTTGAGGGTAGAAGGTAAGGTAGAGCAACGATATTCTTTACTAGAAATACTACATAAAAACCATGTTAACAGCAGATAATTCTGCGATATAGCTATACAGAAATGAAGTGACATCTCTATTACCACTAAATTTTACTCGATGTCGCTACCGGTCCTATTCTATCTAAAATTATCTAGAGCCATTGGTACCGAAATCATCATAATAAAAATTACTGTTTTTGTTAACAGTATCATAATCGCACAGTGCCATATGAAACATTCAGCCTTGACGATTGCAAAAAAAACAGCATTTATTGACGAAATAGGATTGAGTTCGTTTATTAGAAGACGACATTTTCGATAGGACCGTGACCAGATAGAGCGATCTGACCAGGATGACACCGAACTAACTAATCTCTATCTCACTCCATATCGGTAAAGATAGCTTTTATGCAGTTATTGGCTTCCTGAAAAGCATCTTTTTCTCTGTCAGGTAGGCTTTCAAGAAAATCACCAGACTGCTGTTTGAGGCAATCTATAAAAACCTTCTTTTTCTTCTCTTTGTCTTGTCCTTCTTTCATCAGTTCAGTGCCGCACTTCATTGCTAATGGAACCATCCCCTTGAGAACTTGATCTAGTGTGTCTTCATTTGTTTTCATTACTAAGGAGTCTAAGCAAGGTCGAGCTAGATGCATGTCCTCCTACGAACAGGATTGGGAGAAAAATAACCACGTTAAAAACGTTCAAGGTTTTCCCTGCGTACAAGAACCGAACTTTTAATGAATTTAGGTAGGAAATTTGAAAATTCTATTCATATGTTTTATTCTACGAGTGGTTGAAGTGAAATACTTGAAGAGAGCTAGTATACGTGCTTGTTATTAAATAGGTACATCTTAAAACAATAAATGAACGGCTCGTTTTAAAGAATCTGACCAATTTAGTGAAAGCTGTAAGTTGTAGTAGCAAAAAAACGAAGAACCACTATTACGTTGTTACCATGATCAATTTAAAGTTAGGTTAGCTAGCATACTGGCTTAGGTTCGACAGTTCAGCTGTTTCGAAGGCTGACAGTTCTAAATACTAATTGATTAGCCCTTTGTATAATAGTTAGGTCTGTTACCTTCAACTTGGATGCCTTGTCTGAGGCCGCAAGTAGGTCGACAACGGTTTCAAACACTTGGACCAGCTGTTCTACGTTGGCCATGCATTGCTCGTATAGTACCAATGCGAATAGAGCCAACAAAACAAAGCGACCGAATTTTGCCATCTGCAAATCAACAGTAGAAATTGAAACGTGCCTATTATACGAGCTGGTTCATCTATTCATTGCTATATGTATTGTTATGGCAATCACCGCAGAAAAAAATATATACATATACAAGATTTGTGCTTGTCCACCTCTTTAAGACACTTGTATTTACCAACGTAATGCAATAATGTATCAACCAATAGGTGAGACGTAAACACTGTTAGGTGATACGATGCACTTGGCCATCGTTTGAGAAACCATGGGGCATAAGTCAACGATCGAACCTTGAAAAATATCGGGGGAGCCATCGAGGCAGTAGCCTGTCCAAACTCGTATCGAACACAAACCGTCATTTACTCGAAGTTACACTTCGTAGAAGTTTTGGCCTCTGGAAATTTAAAAAAGCGATGGTCGTCCGGAGCGGCCAACTTTAAGCACTAACTTTTCATTATTATCTGCTGCCAGCAAACATAGTTGAGACTTGAATATCTCCTCGTTCACTACGAGGAAACATCTGTTTCCTCTTTTCTAGACGAACCCAATGTATTGAACGAATTGACAACCTGGTAGTTAAGGTGTATTTTGAGAGAAATATGACGAGTCCTTGATGACAGCTTACACAATGACGAACTCGCATACTTGAACAAGGTGCATTCTTATCATTCAGTTTTGCGGTAGATATGAGACAGTCTTTCCAGCAGAACGCTAAACTGAAACATTTGTGATTGGATGTACTCAAGTACGTTGCACATCTTGACCAGCTACAAGTGGAAGTTACAGTCATTTGCTCTTCTACAAGCGTAGATGAAGAAATATCCACGTGAGCCATTATTAGGAGAGCAGCTCACCTGCCGCAAACGCGATGGCACGAAAAAATTCAGCCAAAACTAAGGGACCTAATAAACATAGGCTGTTAACAAAGTTACATCGTTATAATACATACCGCTTATTTTTATATAGAGGGAATGCCGGAAAATAATTTGTTGTCTAACCTTTATAGCAGAAGCTTAAGGCTAGCAAATTGCGAAAGGCTGAGCAAACTGATGATTGACTGATAACGATAAAAGGTCTGTCAAGTTACCACAAACGTTGAATATTTGCCAACGTTACATTGTGATAAAAAATTGTTTATGTTAAACGAACAACTGTGTGTCGATTACCAACGTCTAAGTTCATACAATGTAATCGAAATATTTTATAGAATGCCGTTTTTTATTGTCCGAAAGGTCGGCCATCTAATTTTTAGACAAATTCGTAAGTTGATTATCTTATCTACTAATATGTTCGACATTGGTGATGTGACGCTGTGGTGCGACACGTAATTCTTCACAGAATGGCCAGTTAAGTGGACGTACTGGATCTGCCTGCTACTTCAGGCTTCCAGCTAGTTAACGTGTCTACCGTTCGTCTTTTCAGTGGGATTTTTGTCCGCTCTAGTGTCTATTGAATGACTTTCCTTATTTTCTATTATTTCCTATATGTTATTCGTCAGTTTTATAGATCATTCCATCAATTCGTTCGTAACCACAGAATTTTCGAACCTGAGTTGCTTACAGGGCGCTATAATTTACCTAAATAAGAGAAGACGCCTAGGAGTACGCCTTATCCTATCATGACATCGTATCTAGATTACGACAGATGTTAAGGCTAAGCTTGTTTATAGTTATTCTGAACAAAGACGCAGGCGCTGAATCACTTGTCATAGCAGCATAAAACTCATGCAAATAATACAGGACCTTGTCGACGTGGCTATATACGTATAAAAGGCCGAATCAACTACCTGAAATCCTAACTAAATAACCGTATAATGACTTGATCCATCTTCTCAAATTCGAGTATGGAAATATACTCGAGGTCTCTTTTTGCGCCTGAAAGGGAACCACCAAACCTGCCAAAATAGGTCGTTTTAATTACGTGCCTTTATTTAAAGGCGTGTCACGTTCAGTAAACTTCAAAATCAGTTGTAAGATCAGTTTCTAGTATTAGATATTTTTTAATTTCTCATAAAATAGAAAAGCGTGCAATGAGAGACCTCTTGATGAAATTTAACATGTAGCCATGTTATATGGCGGACAAAGCAGACCAACTGTTTCAATATCGTTAGCACAACTCTAATGAACTCTGTTCATTGCAGTGGCTAGGGTAGCTAAATTTCGGCTGCGAAATGACAATCGATGGTTCATATTGTGCGGCTCGATCTCGGCCAAACGGTAACCCCATAGACCCGATGTTACTGAAAAGGAATGGGTGTATTAAGTAGAACAAGGACTGCTGTTTGCTGGTAATAATGACGTTGTCTAGTCAGGTGTTTTTAGGCATGTAGATGTAATTCTAGGCAATTAGATGTCCGTACCGATCGATCTCGCAAGTAATAAACCAAATAATAGCGCTTCGTTGTTAATTGCAAGAGCTTTATTTGAATAGACAGAAAGAGACAAATAGAAACCATTAACTTTGTCCCTCTTTCGAAACGCTTGAAGGAATAACGTGCAGTTTTAATTCGGTATTACTTCGTCCGAATTAGGATATGGTTGAAAAGAGCTAATTAGAACTTCTGAATCTGAATTTACTGGTTAGGAGTAGCTCAAAACAGCTTAACATTAAACGGATTTTCTGATGATACGGTTGCTACTTTGTTAACATATTTACAATCCAGCATATATTCTCGTCTCTGATAACTAAATTCTGTCCAGCTTTTTCCTTAATCTACTTAACTTTATTGCCACGGCATGTCTTGCAGTTTACTAGTGTTTTCAATATCAATTTATCTATCGTTCCTTTTCAGCGTATCTGTCTTATCGATTGTTCCGCTTATCGTCGTTTCCGCGCGCTCGCCAAATCTCACTCAACGATGGCCTGTTTAGCGCTGGAATCGAATAAGAGTAGCCATGCGCGTATTTAAATGTCGCTCCTCCATTGGCTGCTCCGTTATGGCCCTCTCCCTTTATTCAAGATGGCTGCGCCCGTAGCCCAAACGTTGACTGGCAACGCGAAACTGTCTCTCATCAATGGAAACGTAACAGGCGGGCTTTCTGTCCGGCTCGCTTTTGCCAGCATCGTCGTATCGCTAACGCTATTTGGTTTGTCGGCAGCCAGCTACAGCAACCTCTCTGGCCGATGCCTATCATCGAATCTATCTCGACAATCAAATGAATGTGAGCGTGATACCATATGTGAAGAGATGTGATTAGAACAGGCGCAAGTGTCCCCGCTTGTGGCCGCCCACCCATAGCTAACCTAACAGAAGTGGCTGGCGTGACGAAACACGGCCTCAGTTATACTTTTTGCTGTGGGTGTTTAGGTAAAGTCAGGAACAAAGAAACAGTCGCATTACCAATACCCCTACGATTACCACTAATCGGATATCGCATCTTTGGTAGGTAGTCCTGCCTGCCGTCGCTAACAGCTGTTGGGTAGGGCTGTAGCTATCCAGTGAAAACGGTGGAAATTCTGCCAAATATTCTCCCCTAGAATGAGTGCCCATTCAAATAAGAGCGAGCTCTTCTTGTAGCGAAGCCGTGTGGGCGGGGAGCTCTCGTACAAAGCAGTCAATTCGCCGGATAGTATGTAGCAGAATCGGACTTCCCATTTGCTCGTTTCGGTCGGGTTGGTGAACAAAGATGAATGGAGGTGGGTGCTTTGGTGCGCAGTTAGGAGCTGTCGCTAGAAAATGCGATGGTTTTCTTCAAAGCTGTTTACTACTCCGTAGAGAAACGGAGTTTGTTGGTCAAATGATTTTCTGCTGCATCGCTTCGAAATAAACGATATCAACCGGTAGTGACCGAAAGCGCTGATGATGACGCAGCTTGTGTTTAATTAATTGAATGATGATGGTCTGTGGAAGTACACGCGTTCACGTGGATTAGGTGTATGGACTTTCTGAAAGTGATACGATCTCAGCAGTGAGAACTGTATTCAGCGTTACGCGAATTATAGCCGTATATTGGTGAAGCGCTTGACCGATTCGTTTTCTATGTACCTGTTGCTATCTCTACTGCCGGGCGCACATAAAATAGGATAGGTGTTTCTCAACATCAAAAAAATATCAACGACCTGTAATTGTGCAATACAATTACAGGTATTTTACCACAAGTAGTCGTCTAGCCCATACTGGCGCGCGCTGTATGACAACAGCAGAATGCAAGCTAGTATTTTTCTAGGGCTCCCCACCTGACGTGACACGCTAGAAGACAAAAAATGTCCAAAACAAGCTTAGGCTGAGACCTGGCGCATTGTTCTTCTAAGGCTTGTCTGATTCAAGCAAAGCATTTGTCTATCAGTTTAGCGGTTAAATATTTGTTATTATTACAGGATTACGTGTCGAACAGGAAGCTCCGCACGTGTCGAAGGAACTATTGAATCGCTTGAAGTAGAAACCATAGGTAACATTTGCAACCATTCACAGGAACGCATGTTCCTATGGCATGAATAGGAATTCAAAAGAAAATGGACATAGACTACGAAATAGTGATCGTCATCCATACGTGCGTTCAGTCATGTTTTGCCATCTTCACTGCACACTTTACGGACGTCTCTGCACTTACAGTATGCACGGACCGTGTCGTATATACCCTCAGTTATACGATTTATGCTAATAAAATCTCAATGTCAGAAGTACATCCGAAGCTAACAGTAACAAATATACCTCTAGATTAGAAATAAAGCAAACGAGCTCTAGGTCATGTAACAGAAGAATACACCAATCCGAGCTTATGAAGTAAATCGACTCGGGTTTTGGTCTAGTCTCTTTTTATGTGGGTCCCTGTGTCCGCGGCTTACAGAGAAGCCCGCACATAATCGTGGGCCGGGACTACGGCCAGCTGCGTTTCAGTTCTGCGCCTAAGCTATCGCTATTACTTCCTAAAGTGTGCAATTTACATTGACGCAGTCAAGTTAAATATCATTGTATTTTCTCCGGGCTTGAAACAGTACTAGCCGTAGTAAACGAATCAGTAGTATCGTGTTGTGAGGCGTTGCGTTGAGAGTGCTGCACAACGAAAACGATTTTTAGCAATCCATCACTTCATACGCAATCTGATGCTAAGCTATATTTGACTTGGATCGTAAGCTAGAAGCTGATGACCACTGGCTTATCAAACGATAGCAGCCTTTTATAGATCTGCCCAAAGGTGTAATACATACACAAACTACAAGGCCAATTTTCCACGCGTCCCTAGAGAAGCCTTCTACAAATTGGCAGTAAATGGTGAAGTTGAATTTTTCGCCACTGAACATTGAAAGAATTATTTGCTTATGTTTCGCAGCGCGTTTAGTTACCATTAGATAATCGGACATTAGCCTCGAAAAGTAGAAAACGTGATTAAGAACGTCTAATAGATCGGACGGTTCTTCTGGTAGTTGTAACCTGCGTAAGTAATTTTCTAATAATGTTACATCGAAATTACGTTAACGCTCTTAGCGTACATTTATTAGCTGGTTGCGTGTACTAGATCTATCCAACGGCCATTTACGCCGATGGACTAGAACCGATTTCAGCTCAGAACAAAAAACCAGAAATTCCACAGATATGCGTAGAAATGCAATGCTGAAGGATAAAATAAGTGATAAGATAAATCAATTTAGTAGAAAAGCCATAGCCGTCATTAATGAAGTTAACGGTGACCTTATAACACACGGTTGTGCGGCGCAATAAAAATGCGCCGATAACGCGTTAGGCCTACTAATGCCGTGGCAAATTCAACGGGACAGTTTCGTACTTATTAAAATATACGTAGGCGTGTTTACGCGTTCTTAATCGAATACTTCCTTCCCTTGATTGACGACTAATAACACTGGTCCCGCTCTGGAAAAAGACGTTATGTCGTGATAATGTAAGTATGTTTTAACAATGGGTGTTCTGCTGCTTGCTCTTGAGGCTGGAGCTATTCCTGAGAACGGGGCAACCGGCAGCAGCAGCAGCAGTCTTAACAATGGAAGATCACCTGAGAATCTCTTAGAAGAACACTAACTAGAAGCTGGGAGTTTATAGATTACATTTGCCCCAAGTAGGTTTGGTTGGCTAATGTAAGTTTTTGGTTATCGCAATCGTGTAAATTCAGACATTAGCAGATTGATAAGATCTGGTAACGCTCTTTGCATCAGTGCATCAACAAAGTATTATTAAAGTAAGGGTAGTCCCGCGAAAGCACACCATTGGACCCTGAGTAGATGTGAATCACATCAGGATTTCATCTCTCTATTAACTCATATAAAAACACTCAGTGCGCAGCTACTATCCTGAAAGCTTCAACGAATCGACGATCTGTTCAAGTGGCCAACAACGGTAGATATAATTACCTAATAAAGGGCTAGGCGCTACCTTTAAGGCGAAGCTATCTGTGGAGTACAAGCGGTCCGTTTGTCGTAACGTTGTTTAATGATGCACTCATTAACTTCGCAACGGAGTGCGGATGATGCAACTCGAGATTGGTGTTATCAGGCTTTTTTTAATAAAAGAAAGTAATAGAACAAGTATTAGGTTTTATGGCATTTAGATATCGCCAAAACTCTTCGTGGCCGCAGGTAATTTGCAAGTCACTTGAAAGACGCTACCTTGAAGGCATATCATGGCCAAGTCAAAATACTCCAGGCTTGTGTTTTATTGTATCGCATTTAATTAGATACGAAATTCGTAAACGGATACGCTTTCGCCACCGTAGATATATTGAATTCAGTAGCGCGATACTCCAAATACGACAAACGGTATATATTCGTGACGTGTGGCAGATATCTCTATCGCCCGATTCCGGATCGTCTTGTTAATAGCGGCGCTTTTGCGGACTGACTTATGGCTACTTGTTCGTGGTACACGGTTAATATACTAGAGGCTGAAGGGTCACCATTGACGACAGGCCCAAATCCACGTTGTGGCTTTTCTATAACTACCTTCGATAAGCACAGCTGATTGTCAGTGTAACTGGCAAACTTCTTGCAGATTGGTAGGCATGGCAGTTGGGGTTCGACGGAGGCCAAAACTGAAATAAGCAAAACGAAATTTTAATTGTCTACAAATTTTTGCACGTAAGTAAATCGACTTTAAAGGTCCGTTCGTACTGTAGGCCTATAGAGAGGCCCCGAACTCAGATATTAAAGCAGACTATTTACAAAGAATAAGCGAAACGTCGAAATTTCCTGTGACCGATTGCAGTGGTACTGCGAGAGTTTCTAAACAGAGGTCATTTGAACAAAGCTTGTAGTTGCGTTCGCAGCTACGTCTGTGAGAGAGCAGGCACACCTGGCACACCATCTGTGGAATCTTACTACGACATTTTAGAAAATGCAACTTTCGGCACACTTGTCAATATATGTAGTAATTTATTTACCAGTAGTACCACTCTATTTTCAACGAGTTTGCAATACTTTTGGTCATGCTCGATATGTCTCTTACTTGTTGTCCTGCTTTTTCGTTTATATTAGTCTTTGTTAAGAGTCAACCTATCAAGTCTTCATCTGTTTGCCTTTCCGCAGATGATCGACGTCTGGATAGCCTTACACAGCATATGGATGGTAGACCCGAGGTGAGGACGGCTTCTACTAAAGAACCACCATAACCCTGCTTCCTTGTTCCGCCCTCAGTTCTCAATGGCTACGGGAACCCTGGAGCATACCGTCTCCATCGGAGGCATGACGTGTAAGTCATGCGTGAATAATATTCAATTTACCATCGGGGAACGGGCAGAAGTCCACTCGATCAAGGTAATTTCCCACAGTAGCTTCTAGTTAAACAACGATAGTGATTGCCTGGCATAATCTATATACATACGGTTTTTTCAATCTGCTTGTAATAAACGTGGCCTAGACTGACGGCAACGAATTGTAGTTTGTCAAAAAATCAACCTTCCTTTCTACCAGCTAGCCAGGGCGTTTTTGTTCCTACTGATCTCGTCTAATGCCATAAGACTGCTAATGAAAATGTGCTACATTAGTTTTAGATTTATGATTGACTACAGCGCCTCTTAAGGCTCATTGCTTCGACTTAATATCTTTAATGTTTGTCCAAATTGCAGGTGTTTCTGGAAGCGGGTCAAGGTGTAGTCGTGACTTCAGCGAACACAGCCCCTCAAACTCTCGTCGATGCCATTGACGACATGGGCTTCGAGGCAACTTATCTTTTCAGTACTGCCGTTATTCGCGTCGACGGAATGACCTGCCAGTCTTGCGTCAATAACATACAGAATACACTGAATGCCGTGGAGGGCATCCGATCAATTCGCGTTACCTTGCAGGAGTCCAAAGGCATTGTCGAGTTTGATGTCAGGCTAATACCGATTGAAGGAATTGTTGAACGTGTTCAGAATCTAGGATTCCTACCTCGGTTTCCCTACGTTGGCAATTCGACAATGACGGAGCTTGATGTCGATACGGATTTTGACAAATTAGCGAAGAGGCATTACAGTTTCGCCGAATGTGGCGCTGGAGATGGCAGCGCTAGTACATTGGACGCTGGCGGCTGGGCAGATACTGCAAGTGATTCGAATACGATGCTAGAGGTCGACAAGATTCTAAACACAATCCCACCCCAACTGCTTAATATCGAAAAATCTAATGACTGCACCGTGATTGATCTTAGTGAGAATTCAGATCTGAGCAATACAATGAGTAAATGCACCTTACGGGTCACTGGAATGACTTGCGCAAGCTGTGTGGCAGCCATCGAGAAAGGTCTAAGCAAGCGTCCAGGTGTCAAAAGCGTCCTCGTGGCTTTGTTGGCCCAGAAGGCGGAGGTGAAGTTTGAAAAGGCTTTGATAACACCGCATGAGATCATCTCCGCCCTCGCTGACCTCGGCTTTGGCGCCGAAGAGCTCAACTCGAGCGCCGAAGCTTACGGCGAGTGTCAGCTAAGGATTGATGGTATGGCGACCTTGGCAGACTCTAACCACATCGAGGCGCACCTTTCACGACTGAAGGGTGTGCTTTCAGTGAAGGTGGAATTTGCCCAGAAGAGGGCAACCTTCAAAATCGATGCCGAGCTCACCGGTATTCGCACGCTGTACAACCACATTAGCAAATTAGGCTATTTCCCTTCACCAATCGATTTCCAGTCGGACTACTTACTCAAAACTAGCGAAGTAAACCATTGGCGGAGCTCTTGCTTATTGTCGCTTGTCTTCTTTGTTCCTTCAATGACGATTATGATGTTATTTATGTCGCACAAAAACTGGGAAATGGTATGGTTTCCTGGCGTGTCCAACAAGAACTTTCTACTATTTGCATTAGCCACGCCCGCACAATTCATCGGTGGCCGTTATTTCTATGTGCAGGCGTATAAGGCACTTAAACATGGTATGGCGAACATGGACGTGCTTGTTATGCTGGCTACAAACACGGCCTATTTCTACAGCATCGGCGTGTGTTTAATATTCATGGTTACAGGAACCCACCGAAGTCCAAAAACGTTCTTCGAAACTCCACCGATGCTAATGCTATTTATTTCGTTTGGGCGGTGGCTGGAACAAAAAGCGAAGGTAGGCCTAATTAGATATAGAAATCGGATACTGTTGTAATATTAGAGGGTGATAAATAATTCGATCAGATTAATTGCGATAGCTGATGGCTTTCGTTTCGCCAACGTGGGGCATCGTTTTACACAGTTAAATGGATGTCTATTTAAATCATTGATACTGTTACATAGGGCAAGACATCGGAAGCGCTTTCGAAGTTGATCTCGATGCAGTCCTCGGAAGCGGTACTTGCCGAAGTAGACCCAGACTTCACGATTCGAGAGGAACGCTCGGTTCATGTTGGACTTCTCGAACGAGGAGACATTATCAAGGTGTACCCAGGTGAAAAGATTCCCGTCGACGGGAAGGTTCTGCACGGCAGTTCAATGGTAGATGAGTCTCTAATAACAGGTACGCCACAATGGCCTATCTGATTTTTTTGCCATATAGTTTTCAACTACGTAATTTGCCATATATGCGTATGTCATTATTTATACGATACCTATTTAAGTTTTATCTAGACTACTTAGAACTTTGACACACACTTTGATGATATGTCAAATACATTATTCTTACAGGAGAACATCTGCCTGTTCTGAAAAAATCTGATTCATTAGCCATTGCCGGTTCTGTTAATGGGCGTGGTACTCTTCTTTTGAAGGCAACACACGTTGGACACGAAACGACATTGAGACAGGTATATACATATTTATATTACCTATAACCCTTGGTTTGTTGTTTGCCGCAAGGTCTGTTTCTCGATTGCCGTTTAAAAGCTGAACTATACAAGTCAATAAGCTTAGATCAAAGTTTCTTTATTTAATATAACTGTGATTATTTCTTCAATGCTAAATCTTTCAAGTTGTAACACACCAGTACACTCAAGACAGTAGCGGTTCTCTGCTCATTTACGCTCTCGTAAATATCATCGCAGATGTAAAATACCGTTAGTAACGATTTGTCAACGCTGACTTTCTGTGAGCTTTTGTTCTATCTTACCTTACTGTACCTTGATTCTAAAGATTGTATCTGCACATGATAGGTGATTTTTTTAACGATACTTTATGCGAAGTTTGACAAACATAGCTGTATGTCTCATGTCGTCTGCGTCTCATAACAGATTGTCCGGCTAGTGGAGGACGCCCAAACGTCAAAGGCCCCGATCCAGCAACTGGCCGACCAGTTGGCAGGTTATTTCGTACCTGGCGTGTGTGTCATCTCGGCGGTTACTCTGGTTGTCTGGACTGTGCTTGGCATGAGTGATCCCGGTTATGTTCGGGCACTCTATATGCGCATGGTAGACGGTTTATCTGAATATTTCTGTTTTAGATATTGAATAGTAAAACTAGGCTGATATTGCAAACATGTCTACGCATGGATTTCCCGTCCGTGAATATTTACCATTCTATAGATTGATAACATTGTAAGCCATTTTCCTATGTAGTAGATCTCTGTAGTTATTTCTCCTCGTTACTGCTAGATGAAAAATGACTAGGTAAGCTTTTCAAAAAGTTGATTTTTAAACAGACCCGAAATACTTATCAGCAATGGAGCATCATCTGTTATTAGTGGTGTCATTTATATACAGACGTATCGCTGTAACTGAGTGCTAGCTATAGCTCGATCCGTCCTTGACTTGGTTTCATGCATTCGTGGACGATTTTTGCCAACTGCTGTCATCTAGGATATTTCCTCAGACACAGAAGTCGTTGTGCTCTTTGCGTTCCAATGCGCAATTACGGTCCTAGCTATTGCGTGTCCCTGCTCGTTGGGCCTGGCCACACCGACCGCCGTGATGGTCGGTACTGGAGTAGGCGCTCGGAATGGCATTCTCATTAAGGGCGGACAACCTCTGGAGCTTCTACATAAGGTTTGTTGTCGTAAGCAAAAGAAAATGAATTCCTTTTACATTATTACCATACACTGCCACACGCATGTTATGGCTGTAGAATAAATCTTTTCCTGATATTAATTTGTCGCGGGAAGACTATTTAGATTTTGAATAAATCAGACGAAGGTGCATAGCCAACTGCCACTGCATTTGTAGATTCGCTGTATCGTGTTCGATAAGACGGGCACTTTAACGGAGGGACGTCCATCTGTGACACGCCTGGTTGTGTTCAGCTCGAAAGAGCGAAAACGTGCTATTCAAGAAACGCTCTGTCTCGTGGGGGGAGCAGAGACTGCCAGCGAGCACCCGATAGCCGGTGCGATTACCGAATTTGCTAAGAGGTAAGCCAGTCAATGAAAGGGCTCAGGTTTTTGCGTCTCTGGTAAATATGGCGAAATGTTTTTTGATTTAAGGTTATTGCTGCAGTCGCACGTTGCAACGGTAAGTTGTCGTTTTGATCACATTGTTAATATCATATTGACTATCCCGAAGTGTAAGTCTCACTAACTAAACTTACTTTTTATTGCTCCAGTTACCTGAAGGTGCAATCGTTCCCAACCGTGAGTGATTTTGAAGCCTTTCCCGGTCAAGGGATCCGTTGTCAGGTAAAAGAAGTGTCAGGCTTCGCGAAGCTATGCGGTGAAGATGCTGAGCTGGATAATATTATCGAAGTTTTACCTGTATCGAGACGCCAGGAGAACGACTCTGCTTTGGTAGACATCGGCAGCTCAGACGCCGCCCCAGGTGTGTACCCCTTCAGGGGTGTTACTCGTTTAGGTCTTTTTGTAAACGCTACTCCAGCCTCAGCAACTGTTCTTAGGCCTATCGAAAAACATTGTTCGAATTAACCTTTTAATAAACACCTATCAATATCGTTCCTCTCTATTTCGACTTTTGCATATAGTGTGTGCGAAATACAAATGAACTCTTTCTATATTTCAAAAGGCCTAAAAATCAATAATTAAATATGATAATAGTATGGACATATAGAATAATATAGGACGCGAGAAATGATTAACTCTTGCAAAAATAAAGGCAATAAACATACCTCTTACATTATGCATCACTCAAAATTACGACATTTTAGGTGATCCAGCTTCAACGGAAACTATGTATCACACGATCGTGCTCGGTACTCGGGCATTCTTGGTTGCTGAAGGTGCTCAGATCACAAAGGACATCGACCGTGAGGTCGAACGGGCTCAGCTGTCAGGAGACACGATTGTTCTGGTTGCCAAAGGTGGCGAAGTTGTATGCCTAGTAGCTGTGGCTGATAAGGTAGGCACTTACGATTGGGAATCGTTATTCCTGGATTTGTATGGGAAATAATTATGTTATGATTGATATAAACATATAGGAATCCTTTAGTGCGACTATAAGTACTTTAAAGTAAGTTAGAATATAGGCATTGAAGAAAATTATGACTGTAGCATTGTTTACTAATTATGCTCGATGCTGTTTGACTTCAGATAAAACCAGAATCGAAATCTGTAGTTTCGTGCCTGAAAAGAATGGGCATCCATGTCGCTATGCTTACTGGCGATAACCGAAATTCGGCGCTGGCCGTAGCACAGCGCATTGGCGTCGACACCGTATTTAGTGAAGTGCTCCCTTCACAGAAAGTTAGTTTTAAAAAAATGCGATATGTCTAATTTACCTGCGGTCATGTGGCAAAGTAATACAGAGATCTACTTCAAGGCAGGAAGGACCTGAATGCTGAATGCTGTGAAGAATACTTTTTTAAGCTTAACATAACATAATTAACATTTCATCCTATGTCGACTATTGTAATGCTAGTAATATTAATAATCATAATTGTGACTATTATTGTTATACAGACACGCTTGATTATTATTGAGCAGATTTAATAACGACTCCTTATCCTCTTAATTCTTTCAGGTTGCAAAAGTGAAAAGTTTACGGGAACAGTTCGGTCTCGTAGCTATGGTAGGCGATGGAATCAATGATAGCCCGGCCCTTGCCCATGCCGATGTCGGTGTGGCCCTCGGAGCCGGTACCGATGTCGCCGTTGAAGCTGCACATGTTGTTCTAATCCAGGTTCTAATGAAAATCACAAATAGATTTGCTGCGTTTTCTTAATTACGTATATTCCTGGTCCACGCGATTACTTACGTAGGACCAGTTAAATCCATGGATTGCGCAAGTTGACCAAGCGCAGAGTTCGCAAGAACACACATATTAACCCACCACAAGTCGTACAATAGTAGAGCAAATAAACGGAATCCCTTCGCGTTCATTAACCTCGCTTTCGTTCACATGAATTTCTAATATTTTTTATCGATTGAATAGGACAATTTATTGGACGTATTAACGGCTTTGGACTTATCTCGAACAACGGTACGACGAATCAAGCTCAATTTTGTGTTTGCCTGCCTCTACAATATGCTCGGCGTTCCAATGGCCGCAGGGCTCTTCATTCCATTCGGAATTGTTCTGAAACCCTGGATGGGGTCATTTGCCATGAGCGTCTCATCAGTTACTGTGGTTGGGTCTTCGCTCTTCCTAAAGCGGTAACATGGTTTTTGTCATTTCCTCAGTATGAAAAATTGTGAGAAAATATTAGCATGTTTATGCAGTAAAACTTCACTATACTAGCATAAAATTACTTCATACGAACTTAACTAGTACATTATTTTTTGACAGCTGAATATAGATACAATATGCCACGAGACCTGTAATACATCATAAAACATATACGTAGGACGTAAACTTAGATTCATTTTGTAAACAAGCCTATCTATTAAGATAACTTGCCATTGAAAATAACTTAGCTGAGTAATGTGCGCCAAGCATATGGTATTAATATAAATGGTTCTGAGTGATGTCTATTTTGTCACTATATTCCGAAGGTGCATGTGTGTCACTGTTTTCATTGTGTCCTTTTCGACATGATTCGGCCCCTTAGGTATCGTAAACCAAGTCACCCTGAGCTCGAATCGGCGCCATTTACGGCCGACTTCCGCAACTCGAAAAAGAGATTGCTACCTCGCCTAAACCTGTTTCCAGCCTTCTATGGATATGGAGGAAAGCCTACGTTGACAAAAATTCATTACAGCCCCGTGCCGCAAATCAATAACTAAATATTAGGCGTGCCAACACACAGCAAAGATCAACTTGTGACGCGAAGGGCTAAAACTGCTTTAGGAGAAAATGGTTGTTCTTCGTGGCGCCAACGACAAGCTAAATACCGTTCCTAATGAGCTCCAAAGGGCCGAACAATGACTATTTACTGAACCGGAAAGGAAACTAGCATTATCCTTGCGACGACTGAGAAGTCCTAAACCTGAGCTTTGAAAATTATCCTGTGTACAGCATAAATATGTTCTTTAAGATCTTTCAAAGCTCTTGTTATACGCGATTACATTTGATATTAGGTAACTGGGTAACATCAACTGAGCAGATCAAGTCACCACTGAACTGGATGAGGGTCAGTTCCGTTGCTTATTTTACTTTTCAAAGGAAAACATCAATAAAGCTTAGTCTTTACCGTGGTCATATTTACAGGTTCAAAACACTAAGTAACGCTGGCCAATAAAATTGGGAACCTGAGGGTACGGTTAGATTTTGGTAAAAAAAAAGAAGTTACTGCATTACAAGTTTAAACTCTGGATTTACACGTCACTATATCGAGCTAGTTTTGTTCGAGTTGTCGACTGGATACAAAAGGCTTTCTAATCTAATTGCGGAGAAGCCTAAAATTCGTTTCGAGAGACAAATATCTCTTTTCTTCACGAATGGATTAGGAACGCAACTACTAACTGAAAAACATTCGTTTGCTTACAAGATCGTCGGATAGGCATCTATGAGGGGTAGCAGGTCGGTTGTCGAATAGCGATATGTATTTAGTCCGTGTTCCGGTCGAGGAAGAACCAACAGACAGTGAAAATGACCCATACTTCAGCTGCTGTGAGGGATAACCAGAGCACAGACAAACACTATTGTGTGATTGATTCGATTGGAAAAACAATGCATATAATGATCATCGCGAAACAAGCATTTTCAAAAATACGTGTAACGCCTGACGAAGTTTCTTACCCTCTCTCTCTCTTTTTTTTGTCGGAAAAGGGAAGGGAGCTGTGCCAATAACAACTAAACATCGTAAATATAGCTATTAATTGTTGTATATATTATGTAGTACATATGTAGCAAACAAGACAGGCAAGAGTCATTTTTTTTTGTATATCTTGTATAATGGAATTTGTCGGCAGTAATCTTTAGAAGGTATTGCTGGCTGTCTGTGAAAACAGACTTCTTCTTTTTGTCTCGGTTCGCAAAAACGAGTGCAGTCTGTATCTAGATTGCAGTCTAGTTAGCACTGAATGTACTGATCCTGGACTTCAGGGAAGTTTTGAATATGTATATGTATCGGTTTTTTACTCTGACGGCAGGCACATAATCTCCCGGCGGTCGAAGTTGAGCAAACTATAACACTGCTTAATTAAGATGAAGGTTATTTTGCTAGCAGGTCTATGTTTGAATACACTACGGTCGCTTAAACTACGTAACCGGCATTAATTGGATTTGGTTTCACAAAGTGTATAGCTATAAACATTTACAACCCGTTACCAATTGATCTCTTGCAACAGGGCTAGACCGGAACTCACTCCGTTTATTGTTCCGAAGCCCAAAAAGGACGAGTCGTATCTTTGTCGTAACGCTGTCAAGCGAAACCGTTTTGGCAAGGCCACCTAACAAATACTTCCCCCTTTCTAAATAATAGCATAGTAATTCTAATAAAGGCAATGGTGATTTTGTAGTACCCAATATCATTTCAATAAACAGGGATATTCTAATGAGCACTTAATTATGGAGTATCAAGGAAATGTTAAGCAATTGAACGAACGTGACCCGCTTATAGAAATAAGCTAAATGTTATGGTCCAAAGAAGGTAAAGTCTATCTAGAAATAGATAGAATTCGAAAGATATCGAAGAGCTGCGACAAACCACTCACAGTTCATTGTTCTTAATTTTATTATTTATTCGTTATATAAGCAAACGGTGACTATAACTATAATGCAGTAACGGTGGCATTGTTCTATCCGTGACACACGCATCGTGTCTGATATTTCGCAAGTTTTTTTGCTATTAATTGGTGTAGCCATGTATTGACTATTCAAGTATCATAAGATTTGGTCGTTGGCTTACTTTTTAATTTGACTCTGATAAAAATGAGTTTTTTGAAAAGAATGTAAATTGGCGCGTACCCAAAATGTAGACCTAAACAATCAGAGCTACGACGGAAGAGCAGCTTAATTGTAAGCAATTTTAGCGATTCTAACTAAATACTGATTTGCAACTATTATACATCATCACACATGTGATAATAACGGTAGCGGACTAATCAGGTTAACGACGCCTTGTAAAATATATCCATTCATAGACTTTTCACGGGTTCGAACGTGTTCTCCTCTGTAATGTGTCAAACGTGTTTGTGATGTCCGATAATAAGTCTCTCGTTCAGATAATATACTGGTTCATTGTTAACTGTGAAACGACCTATGCTTTTTCTTTTATTAGTTAATAAACATATATATGCTACCTATTTATTTTTATATCAACAATAGTATACATTTAAATGCTATGCTATTTTCGTCGGAGCTTCGCTATGAAAAAGCCTATTGTGTCCCGGTCGAAATCTTCCCCGTCATGTCGTCCTTCGAAACTTTGCAATAGGCGACAATCTGCTTCAGACAGACCATCGACACTTCTTCCAAACCCTCCCAGATGCGGCTGCTGTTGAGCGAGTTCAAGAGGCAGATTTGTTAGGGCCCACGCTATCACATCTTCGTTCTCAGCGCAGTTGATGCTGCACGTTGAGTAAACGATTACGCCATCACTTTTAACGAGCTCACATGCCCTTGTTAGCAGTGCACGTTGTACGTTTGGATAGCTGAGCACCTCGTTTAGGCTCTGACGGTACTGAAGGCGAGGTCGTTGTCCGAGAGCACTGCACGGAGCATCGAGCATGATGCGGTCAAACTTTAAAGGCAACTGTTGAAGGTTAGCGTTCGTGTTGAAGGGCATAGTCGCGTCATGGACGAAACACTGCACAACGTTAAGATTCCAGAGCGCGCAATTCTCGATAGTTTTTTTCAGTCTAGCGCTGGCTTTATCCAGTGCAACGACGGTCCCTTGGTTCCGCATTAAGGTGGCGATATGGGCTGTTTTACCGCCCGGTGCGGAACACATGTCAAGAACCGTTTCTCCTGGCTGTGGGTCAAGCACTCGCGAACATACGATTGACGGAATATTTTGCAAAAACAGTATATCTCTGAGAACGTTATTTAATGGTGGACAGTTGTACGCCGGTTGTGTAACGTCAATAGCAGTACCATGAATAACTCCATTCTTGAAAATATCGTCACGGGAAACGCGCGCCATTCCGTTGCCGATAAAGACTTTTTCGCCCTGATAATGTCGTTTATCTCCTTTACAGCATTTGTTATCGACATCCACATAAACGGCAACCATATCCCCCTTTTGTAAATTACCAGGGGCGCCCATAACGCCAGGTACGAAGACGTTTGCCCCTCGAAGTACCGCCTCCCCACATTCTAGGGCGACGATCACCTGTCGTCCGCAGGGCTCCAACTGAGTTCGATTTTGGGACGACACCACCACTAACGTATCGTCAAGTTGAGGATGCTTCGTTACTGTGTACGCCATATGTTCTCTGCGCGAACACTTGTCGATATGTTCCTGTAAACGACCTTTCGCCTCACTTACCGATGTTGCAAGGGTGTTTACACGTAACGTTGTATACTGAGGTGGTGTACATAGCCAGTGTTTGAGAAGGCTGAATTCTTCGGAATCGCGTTGACGCTCGAGAAAAGAGTTGAGTTCGACCTGTTTACGAAAGGGATCACAACGCTTAAGGATGTCGTGCATCTTCATTGCTGGTAGAGATCGAATGTCGCCAACTGACCTGACAAAACGTAGCCCGGTTGAAAATCTCATTGGGGTTTGGCTTTCATGCAAATAACTTCTAAGAGTTTCTGTAAAAATTTGAATGCGTTCAAAGTTAAAAAATGCATAATGAATGTGCAAGTCCAACCACAAAGCACCAAGAGACAACACAACATTGTGTATCGAATAACGTTGGCTACCGCAGATGCAGAACATCAGCTGTTAATGTTATTGTTTTGGTTTCAAATATTTGGCGGGAAGATACGATACCAGACAGCTTGTGCCAGCAGCATTTCCCCAACGAGAAAATGTCGTCGTAGTTTCTTTATGTAGATTGGTATAAAAGAAAACAAACAATAGATTTGTCACCTCTAAACGAAGATGTTTAGCCTGTATACGTACACTGAGGAACTAGAAAGCAAGGAAGTGCATAGACACGTGTGCACGGCCATATTGGTTTATTACTGATTATATTTCACAGATATAATAGAAACTTAAAATGAATTACTAGTGCGAAAGGCCGCGCTGTCCTAATATCGAGCATAATGACAAAACTATGAAAACGGGCCTCACGTCGCAGCAGCCTACGAAAATATTATCAAAGATTCAGATTAATGTAAGTATTTCATTTAATAATAATACATATAAATAACCCTCTTATATCCTTAGTTTATGTTAGTTATATACTTTACATACTTTGAGTGGAACTATTTTAGAAAGATATAGTAAGGTATACGAGTATATTTAACTAACTTAGACCGCACTTTCGCCAACGAGTTAAATTCAATTGAAGTACACAATTCACTACCATGGTAACGAAAGATGCATCCGATCGAAACACGCTGCATTTTATCTTCCAGTATAACATAAATAGACAGCTGCTGTAAATGTATCGGTCATTCAATGTTTCGGCTAACAAAAATAACCAAAAAGCCATATGCATAAACTGTCAATGGATTAGTCAAAGTTCAAATCAAAGTCTATCTAACCAACTTTTCTCAGTTTCTCAAGTTTTTATTGTATAACTGAGTAACTTTTTCTCCTTGTTACGGTTCAAGCTCGCTTTCTGGACGAGTACCTGGAACCTCACAATTTTTCAGCTGTTCAATGCGCTACTCCTTCCGACCACGATGACGGGAAATTAATCGTATACGAACAGATGTTTCCGTACGCATCTTAAACACTTACGTTGCTCACTTAATCTCGCAGGATAGGAAATATGGACAGTTGAAAGTTTTAAATTTTAGACCCCGCGTGTTCTAACCGGTAGATTTCATGTTTTAATATCAAGCTACGCGACTTATCTATTAGTAATCCTTTTGCATTTCTGAAAGGCTGTGACCTGGATAGATACTTTGAGCTTTAGGTGCGATACAGTCGTCAAGCATTGCTTCAGATGTCTGGCCGCTTTAAGCATAGAACAAAGAGTGCTTGTGTTCGGTTTAGAATTTACCACTACCGATCAGTCGTATTCAAAGAAAATACTTGAAATTCGTTTCGTAATGCTCGTCTGCTTTGCCTCAATTAAGATAGCAGTCGCGGTTCGAGCCCAAACCACAGCTGCCCTTACTGGAGGCAACTGAAACAGCCAACCTAATCTCCATGTTTCGGGTTTTACATCCAGCATCCGCTAGGCATTCCATCAGACAGCTGGCTCCCAACACGAAACGAAGTCTGTCTACGCCTATCTTTGAATCCTAGATCTAGGAATTTCAAAGCCACTTATGGAGGGGGAAAGCATTTCGACTATCAATTTTTGTCCATCAAAACAACTGATGGAGACTGATATCACGAGGTCTATTTCGGGAAATATTATTTTGGAAAGTCTACGATTTGAGTGGTGCTGTTAGCATTTTCTTATGAGTCCAGCTTCGGCTTTCCCTGGATTTTATCGGAACTTGTTTGCGCCTTCTAATTTTGTGTCGTCATCGAGAAGAACTGGTAGGAAAAGCTACAGTGAAGGTTTCCTTTTTAGAAAAAGGTGTGCATGTCAATAATAGGTTTGTTTTGTGAGAAACCAGTTCTCTACGTGACCCTCTCCGAGCAATAGTATGATCCAATCAAAAGCAGTTGAAGTTATTTATCACTGCACTAATCGGTTATTTATACATTAATAGTCTCTATGACCCTCTTTCTCATTTCGAGTGTACATATACGACACCAACATCTCCGCTATTACACATTCACATGTACCTCAGCCGCTAAATGATTGAGTGGTTGTTAACGTGATCGAAACATGCACGTGTCCTAGCAGGCGGCATTAATAAACTCCGATATAACGGGCTTACTCCAGCCAAGGCTGTTTTAGCAAAGCATGCTTTGCTACTTGTTACTTTGTAAGCGTGTATGGTAAACTGTGGAAATGCTGTTCCCGTCGTCGAAGTTTCTGCACGCTGCCGATTTCCGTGCTGGATAAACAATAACCAGCGAGAAAGGGCAAAATAGATTAGTTATCTAAATGGCAAGTTTAAGAACGACAGATCAGTCGGTTCTATCTCACGTTTGCCCTTTCAGGCCCTGGTATAAAATCGACTGTTATAGCCTGCTCCGACATTTCTTCTCTTACGATTTCAGCTGGTCGGACGTTCGTCAACAGCCGAAAAATGCTTTCAAAGAAAATCTGTATTACCTCATCTTCAATAATTTTTTCCGATTTCCACCGCTGTTCCGGAGATTAGACGCATTGTTGGCTAAGTGGATTTCATGGAAAAGAATGTTAGAAATTGATCTCTTCTGTAGGGAGAAGGGACGTAGTTCTTACGAGGACCCGCTTTCGTATTGGATGTCAGGGGCTTTTCATCGCAGATTAAACCGAAAGGAACGTTTTAGATCTATTCAAGTTTATGCTGGTGTGTTAAGAAATCTAGTGACGATCTCGATCTACTTTTTTAGCGCACAAATTTACCAATGAATCTTGTAGGGACATGGGTTTTTTTGGGTGTATTTTCGGTTGTCTCGTTAACTTTACCTAGCATCTGACGAGAACAAGTCGAGAACACATTCGTAGCCATTGCTTTGTGCATTGGGCGGTTATCTCTGTTTTATCTCGGTTTTGCGTCTCTCAATAAAAACTAAGGTAAAATTAGATAAATATTTGCTGCTTGTTGTCGAGAAGCTGCCTTTTTTGAAAGAAGAATTGAACAAAAGAAGAAATATAAATTTTCAAAAAGTAATTCGCCTCATAACTTATTCTGTGTTCTTAAGCTTACTCAGCGCCAGCTAATGAGTACCAATAAAAGTAACTTGACAAAAAATAGGAATTATTCGCAGGAAAACGTCCTACTTAGTTCAAACAGCTGATGAGATCTGATTAAATGTTTGGTAATAGACTCGTTTTCCTCTTCCACCATTTCTCTGTATTTTGTACGTGGCTTATCAACTATTCGCAGATCTTTATTGACGCCGCCTTACTACCGCGATTAGCTTCTTATTCTGTGCTGCTCAATACACAGACAAGTACGTTTTCCCATTATAATTTGATCGTTCTCCTGCTCTGCTAAAATTTATTATCTTTTCGGCTCCTCGTAAAATTATATGAAATCGCAATTGAAATGTTTATATTTATTTCATGCATATATTCGAATGTTCGCAAAATCTTTATTTGTTTTCAAAGAGGAGAGTTTATAAAAAACGAATGAAATAAGCAGGTGCCAGTTGGTATGCTCAAAGTGTTACCTGGGCTTGTTCGATCCGCACAATGGTTGTTTTTGATATTTTGACACTTAGACTAGGCTAGTTCTCGTTGTTTCTTTTTTTATTTATTTTTTTTCTTCTTTTCGCAGTCTTCGTTTCGAGGTCGCCATTTCATTATCTGGCATGTCCCTTGAGTTTCGGCAAAAATCTTCTAAAACGTTTCTTTCTAAAGTTGGTCTCTTTTGAGTGCTTGCTTCCTTTAGATTAATATATATATATATACATATATACATTGGTAGATGTACATGTTCATACATACAGATATGACAAAGCAGAAGTGAACAGTGAAGCTATAGTAAATAGCTGATTTGGATTCACCACTGACACGCATCTTATCATGATCCTACAGAATATATTACCCGCATCGTTATCAATAATCGTTGCGGCTGCAACAAGACTTCTAGTTACATGACAGACTCGTTCTGTCGAATAATCTTATGATACCAAATGTATCAATGAGCCACGTAGTCACGAGTGGAGTTCTCGCCCTACGCAGGTATGCTAGTAGAAAGTTGGCCAAATTACAAAAAAACACTACATTTAAAACCTTATAGATTGATATCTTATGACAGCCTTAGTACGGACATGAGGTTTTCAAAGAAAGCTACCTACAGTGAGTCCTATTTTTAGATCGAACATTTTTTCCCATATTTTATTTATTTATGTAATACTTTAGCTAAACTAAACCTTTCAAGTTTAGTAAGCACAGCCGTTGCTGCTGGACCATTATTATGAGGCACTATTTAAGATAAACTATGGCAACAACAGTTCTACTTCCTTGATCGGCTCAGATCGTCGGTGACGCACGTTCACACCATGTCTTCCTATTAAATAAAATTCTGCGCGTGACAATTTACGGCAAAGTATTTCAAGTAGTATAAGAATATAGGGAGAGCCAACCCAGGAACGACGATGTCCATTTACTTCGGACCTTCTCGAAGCAGCAGCAGCATTTCCGATGTATACGGCATAAGTAGGCTGCTATGCCCTACCGCCGTCCGGATTTGACCTCACCTTGCCAACTGCGTCGTGATGAAACGCAATCGTGTACTTCTCGGTTACCAGAATCACAAATGTCATTGCCGATAACTCAACAGTAGTATAAAGATCACTTTTCGCTTTATTCTCTTTAATTGACACGAATCGCTTTCTATATAAATACGCGTCGACGATCTAGTAAACGTCTGTAGCAATTTCTATGGTTTTTTTTGATGTTTTAATCCAAAGTACTTACAAAATTATCTATCTGAAAGAAAAAAAGAAGAGTTAATCTTAAAAAGCAGACAACCCTTCCCAGACTGTGACACTGCTGACCTTTGTTCCCACCTTAAACTGAATGGATCTATGGGGCAATTGGAGACGAGTGGTGCCAACCACTGTGGCTGTTCTATTGAACATTCTCTGGTCCAAGCAAATTCTCCCACTAAGCCTACAGATGCATATAATACTAAATAATTTGTTCACGTCAAGCAATATTCAGACTAAAAAAATCAATAACTGGGCTTACAATACGCTATCCCAAACACCTGCACTCAAGG